TGCAGCCGTGAGGGCAGAATTGGGGATCCAATCCCTACGGTCGGGAAGAGACGCAAGGAAGCTGATATGGCAGTATCGCATGTGCGGGGTGGGAGAGGAGAGGTTGCCGAGAATTGTATGGGAGGCGAAGTGGGCAAACAAAAAGAGGGGTAGACAACCCACGGAATGGGTCAAGGTTGTAGAGGACGTATGGAAGGGGATCGACATCGACGAAGATGAAACGCTGGAAACGGAGGGTCTACAGGGGTTCAAGGAGAAGATATCTGTTGCTTGTGCCGAGAGAGAAGAACAGAATCTGAGGAAAGAATCCAAGGATAAGGAGGGTCTAGAAGTGTACGGAATGTTGAAGGAAGGAATAGGGTTCAAGGACTACCTACATGGACCAATGGATGCAGGAACAAAGCTTAAGGTCAAATTCAGGACCGGGGACATAGGCCTTCGAGAACGTCGACGAAGACATAGAAAGGTAGACGAGGAAGACGACGAGTGCAAGTGTGATTGCGGCTGCGGATGCGAAGACCGTGTTCATGTAGTCGCGGCATGTCCGTGGTACAAGAAGGAGAGGGAAGTGTACGTGACTGAGCTGGGAAAAATAGATGGAACGTACAGGGAGATGTTTGAGGCATGGAATAGAGAGGAAAGGACGGTAGCTGTAGTGGGGCATAGGAGGTGGGTTGGACAAGCGGGAAGGGCTATCGTTAGGATAGACAGACTAGGGAAGACATTTTTGAGCCACCTTTGGCATAGTAGAAAGGAACGATTGGCCATCGGTGATCGGTCCTGTGGGAACAATGCTCCGTCCTCTCGAGGACGCGTGGTCAATGGTCTGACCGCTAAGGCGTGCAAAACATAAGTGTACGCCCCCCCCCCCCCCACCGCGACCAAGATTGACACGTAACCTAGGGGTGTTCCAATGTTTCCACTTGGAGGGCCCTTTGACACAGCAGACGAATCACCCTTCACTCCCAATGCTGGGAACCACACGCACCGCAATCACAACAACATCAAGCACCGAGGCAATACGTTAGCATCGGCTCCGGTGTGCGCTTTCTCTGCTCTCCCCCACAGATGCGGCACCAGGTTGATCACATGTTCGGGGTGCTCCCTTCGGTGGTAGTTTGCGTTTGAATCTTACAGCAGTACCGGTAGGCAGTAGATTGGATCTGGTAAGGATATCTGCCCCACGTCAGAGAGATTAGGCATGGGTGAATAGTATTGTTCTATATGAGTCCTGTGCGTATTGCTGATAAACGTGCTTTTGGGGTGGGCTGCCTGTGTCTCCCCGCTGGTCTCTTTATGTATGTTGTTTGCTCTTACCCGAGGCACAACGGCGATCTTTCGGCACGCAAAGTGATCGGAGCTGAGAACGGAGCTGAATCGGCCTGTTGTCACGTAAGGGCTGACAACAAAGCCAGAATTTCAGGTGGATCCTATCAAAGGGGGGAAGAGTCTGAAACGTTTTTTTTCGAGCTGATACAAGTGGGCGTTTATATTTTATGGCGAAGAGGATGTCTGCGTGCTTGAGGAGAGGAGGCCTACGTGCTGAGATTAGACAGCTGCTCGCAGTGCTCGCAGTACATTCCTTTTGCGCCCGATCACGTTGAAGCATCAGCAGTGCTAGGAGGAGCACAGGAATTGCTTGATGCGTATCTAAATCGAAAATAAAACGACCGATGGAGCAAAGGCCTACTCGGGAGTTGAAATTATGGTGCGGCGCAACCACCTCAAATAGGGAACGTGTGTGTCACTTCTTGTTTCCATGAAATTTATTTTGTATGTCTGGTCAATCAGACAATAATTCTGAGTTCATCGTTCCCTGTTCCCTGTCCAGCAAATGGACTTTAGTACACGCCCTGAGTGCTGTTAAGCAACTCTGTGACCCTCGGAACGATGAAATACAAGATGCCCTTGATGCCGTTGTTACTGGCGGACTCCAAGGCCAGGTTTTGATGGTAGAAGATGAGAGTGAGAGAGAGAGGTGTGCGGGCCAGCTCTTGATCACTTGAAACAATATACTATGTAAAACAATATCTGTGGTACTTGGATACACACGTGTTGCTCCCCTTGGAAAAATCGCCATTTTTTTTTTACGGTCAAAATATAATCATGGAATAACAACCCGAGAGATTGTGCCGCAAGGAGCTCTCAGTTATTCTGCTCCACCTCTTGCAATAATCGCCCCGGTGGTCTAGTTGGTATCCTCGACACCTTCCCCAGGTCAGGTCAGAGGTTCGAATCCCGGCGTATGCGAGCTTTTCTTGCGAAGTGAGTTTTTCTCTGACTTCCACTCCTGGCCTAGTGGGTAGCGCTAGTTCGTGTGTACACAGAGGGAAGAGAGTGCTGAACTCTTCTCGCATTAAAAATCGTTGGCAAAGTACCGCAGGAGGGGAGCGTAGAGGGGAGCTTTTCTGTGTGACCACGGGTTGGAGTAAACGGCACTACTAGTCCTGTGAGCGCTGATTCGATCCCAAAATGTGCACATAACCGACGAATCGTTCCTCACCCAATAATCCGTACACCTGCCGATTCCTGGGGGATTTGGTGCAATCTACGAACCTGTCATTTTTGCTCGAAGTTTCAAGGTGCTTCCAGGATTTGATTCCCGTGATAAATTTGGAGGTAGATTCATGATCATGTCTGGTGTCTCTCTTTTTTTTTCTTGTGGTAGGAATACTGGAGTTAAGAGTCGATATCGGCCGCATCTTGTCCACTTCTGCAGGTCAACTTCGATCGCCAGAGTGCCGATCCCAAATTGTGCACATCTGCAAATCGTTTATGAACCTAAACACATCCAAGTTTTGGGTCGATTTGGTGCACTCTGCGGACCTGTATATTGGGCGTGAAAGTTGCTTCCTAAGAGCTGAAAACGTTGCCTGCTGCAGCGGGAAAACAGCTTCAATGCAGGTGTGATGGTGCAGCATTTCTCCCGTTCAGAGCAAAATCAGAGCGTAAAACCAGCTCACGGGTGGAGTTGATAGCATTTTTGAGGTTCCCCTCTACTTTGGCGGCAAGCCATGCCCTCTGTACGAAGCACAGGGTGATGAAACAAGTGGGTTTGGCAGCCTTCGTGTTGCGGAGGGACTGCCAACAAAAAAAAACGCTCAAACCCGAGGCATGATTTTTTTACCACATGGTTTTTTCTTTTTCCGAGGACTGTATCAGTCCGATCTGTGCATCCTCTGCGGGGGATACGCGTATGGATGTGATGAGTATGTATGCGGTTGGGGTCCAAGTGCCCCCCCCCCCCCCCCCCCCNCCCGAGAGAGCATACGGTGGTGTGTTCCTGGCACTTGCCTGAAGGGCTTGCGTGTTGGATACCACTCGCCTGAGGGGCGAGAGCACTCCATCCATGTCGTAGGTCGTGTGAACAGCTTGCCTGAGGGGCTTGCGTGTAGGATATATAATACATGGTCCTTTTCTTCATCTGCTGTTCCTTGGACAAAAGAGTACCCAGTCTCAACACCGCAGACCGCTGAGGGCGGTAGTGCCACAAATAATACCCGAATAGTCACCGCCTGTGTCTTGACCGCACGCTGACAGTCCCGTGCTGAAACATGTCAGACAACTATATTTTTGCTGATTCTGGTACCATTGTACAGCATACAGACTTTAGCCTACGCAAGGTTCCTCGCCGTCCCCGTGCTCCGGATGGTGTTTTTTCTCAAACCATATAAATTTTTTTCTCACAGGTCAAACGGCTAGATAAAAAATCCCGAGCGGTGCCCTCGCCGACTGCTGCAACATCTCAATTGTCTCCTCTGGCAGTTAGCCCTAGGAGACACAAACCTCCGCATCTTTTTGGAGAAATCGTACCAGCTTGAGCAACCCCGTCCATCAAAATGTGCCGCTTTTCAGTTTAGGCCATGTAGCGCGAGATAGAGCTCTAGGAATTTGCTATTTTCCTACGCGTAAGAAGCCCAAATAATTTCTTGGGCTAAGAAAAGAACCTCCCCAAAAAACAATCCCGAAAAAAACGTTAAGGCTCGGCCTCATTTTTAACATGACGTTGAGTGATATAACTATTAAATGATAGGCCTACATCTGTATCTATCCGTGCATGCATTTTCTTTGTGTTTCGCGTGGACTGCCTGACCTGCACTCCATGTTGACCTGTCTTGGAATCGTCGAAAACCTGATAAGTCTAGGTTTGTATCGATCGTTGCCTTGTTGTGTGGTGGCGCCAGTGATGTTTGTCGTGAATACTTGTGTTTCGTGTTGCTGCCATGGAGACTTCCTCTTTGCGGTTCAGCAGTAGGAGCGAGTGGTGCAGTGTAGCCGGTGTAGACAACGGAACAACCCGAACAGTCCAGAGGATGATGCAGTTACGCTTCCCTGTTTACCCCACCAGGTGCTCGTTTTTTCGATCCTAGACCTCAAGGGTTTTTCATATCTACTCAGACCGTGTAAGGTATGGTGACATCTTGGCCTGTATGTGGCGTGCGCGCACTGCCGTGCCAGGGGCATTCAGTGTACGTTATTCGGGACCGTTTACTGCTTATTGTGAGTAAATCGAGGGAGCACCGATGGTGTCTACACAAGGTCGCTCCGCAGTGTTCCACGTACAATGTTTGCAGCATCACATGCGCAACCTTTCCGGATTCGTGCGCTTAAGCGTCTCACACCATCCCACGGGACACAAGCATCCCACAGGACACCAACATCCCACGGGACACCAACGAAACTGGTTCTGTCTCGTAGGTTGGTGTGAGCCCATCACGTTATTCAAATTGGCTGCCTTGTTGCCGCGTCGCTGGCTTCCTTCAAGTACGTAGGAGACTTGGAATTGTTTCTGGGTTGCTGAGTTTCCACGGCGACTGTTTGCATGCCATAGTCTGTAGACGAGCGTGGGCTTATCTCGTGGGCACAGGATCTTGGTGAAGAGCTGTGGTGATTCACATCTGAAACGCTCCCTCTCCGGTTCGAGGGTCGTCAAAAAGTCGAGCGTCCCTGAAAGCGAATTTTGAACAGCTCGATCTCTGCGTCGAGCTACAAGATCTCTGTAGATGCGGCGAACCAGCCCACAGAGAATATCAAGCTGCCGCAAACCAAGCAGAACACGCACTTTACACACAAGAGCCTACACTTTCGCCCTCTTCCAGAGCAGGAACGGGCAAGGTTCGGCAACAGAGGGGTGTACACCTCGAAATTTTACGTTGCAGATTTTGTGGGGGTCAGAAAAGGCTTGAGCGTTTGTGGCGGTCACAGTACCGCCAGGGAAACCCGGAGGATGAACGGGAATGATCCAACTTCAGGGTAACATTGAACCCCGTTTGTTGAACCGGGTCCATCCCCTCCGCTGGAAAGAATCCCTCCCTCCCCACGAAAGCATTACAGTAGGTGGGCCCGACTAGCGGCACCAAAAATCAAAATGTCTCGTCGCAATTTGGACTCGATATAGCGGCAATGTGCCACTATAGCAGACGAAGCCCGATGTAGCGGCACTTTAGGGTGTCTCATACCCCAAAAGTGGCAATTCCAAGCGTGGGAGCCCCCATGTGTTTCACCCGCGCGCACCCAAACACACACCCAGTGGGCGCCACACGTATCACGCTAGCATGCGCGGATCTAGAACTTTGTAAACTACCAAACCTACCACTGGGAGAGGAGGACAGTGGTTGGGATCCTACTCCTTTCCCGTCATGTAGTGTGCGCATCAAAACGTTTTCTCTGCTTTAGCGGCAATGCGGTCGGTGTTGGGGGGGTCGACAGCGGAAATATTTCCGCAACAGCGGAATAGCGGCACTGCCCTTTCTAGCGGTATGGTTTTGGCTTGCCCCTACATGCCGCTATATCGGGCCACGTACAAATCGTGCGGGCGTGTAGGTGAGAAGTGGAGGATGGTACACAGGCGCT